TGAGGCCTCCGTTTGAATCTTGCCTAGATGCTGCAAACGCCAGGCTGGAGATGAAATGAAAAAGCAAAACGGGTATTCTCAAGAAAATAATTCAGTTCAAACCAGAATGAAACACTACCAAAACTTTCTTCTAGACTACGGGTAAAGACACTTCCATGTAAATACAAACAGGTGGCCAGCAAACTTTTACTAAAAGCACCTACGTATTAGTGTAGGTCAAACCTGCAGTCCCCAGCCCCGGGGTGGTGCCCATCTGCGGCCTGTTAGGGACCCGGCCTCAGTGTTCCCTGACCCCACTCCCTTCTTCCTCCTCCCTGGTGGAAAAACTGCCTTTCATGAAACTTAGTTGGGGGGACACAGCAGTGGGCAGCAGCAAAGCTTGGTCTGTATTTACAGCCGCTCCCCATTGCTTGCAGCACAGGTCCCTGGTGCCAAAAAGGTTGGGGACCCCAGGAATAAATAGGCCTCAAATGAAATGGCTCAAACACAAACGTTTTAACAACCCAGGGCTGGTGTTGAGGTCCGTCAACTACTGTCCTTGGTAAAGAAATTTAGGGATAAAAGCACAAGCTGCAAAATATATATAAACTGGATTTCACCAAAATTAAAAACTTTCATGTTTCGAAGAGCACCATCAAGATAGTGAAAAGACACCCACAGAATGAGAGAACAGCTTTGCCGGTCACAGAGCTGATAAAGGTCTTGTTTACAGAACTACAACTCAATAATAAAAGGAAACCCAATTAAAAAGTGGTCAAGTTCTCCAGCACAGGTACATAAATGTCTGATAAGCACATGAAAAGGTGCCTGATATCTTTAGTCACTGGGGAAATTCGAATGAAAACCGCAGCGAGGTACTGGTTCATACCTTTGGGATGGCTGCAATACAAAGACAATGATAAGAGTTGGGAGGGTTAACGGAAAGAAAAGCCAAACACTGTAAAATAATTTTAAAGAGATTTACTCTGAGCCAAATTTGAGGACTATGAGCCCGAGCCACACCCAAGAAGCCTTGAGCAAGTGGACTCTGTGGCTGGGTTGCAGTTTGGTTTTATAGATTTCAGGGAGACGGGTTACAGGTAAAGTCATAAATCAATATGTGGGAGGCATACGTTGGTTTGGCCTAAAAAGGGGGGCCATCTCCTAGTGGGGTGGGGTGGGGGGGCTTACAGGTTATAGGTGAGTTTAAAGATTCTTTGGCTTGTAATTGGTTAAAGATATGAAGCTTTGTCTAGAGGCTTGGAATGTTTTAAGATAAGAAGCTCTTAATCAGAGATAAGCCAGGGGACACAGATTTGTTGTGTAAATTGAGGACCTGCTGGTTTGTCTTGCATACCCTTAGGCCTGTTAATGGGTTACAAAGGATGTCCCCAAGAAGGGAGGGGGCATGATGAGGCACGTCTGACCTCCCTCCTCCTGGGCAGGCAATTTAGTTTTAGGATATTCCTTTAGCCAAGAGGGGGTCCATTCAGTCAGCCGGTGGGGAGGGGGTGAACCTTAAAATTTTGTTTTAGTTCACAGGAGGATGTCATTACACAAAGCTCCATACTTGTCCTGGAGGCCTCCTGTCTCAAAATCCAAAGTTCCTATCCATAAGCAGAAATAAAGTTTTAAAGGGAGCGGGAGTGGGGAGGGAGCAAAAATAAAATAAAATAAGATAGAAGGAGGCCGTTCAGCTTCAGGTAACTGATGTTTAACTATATTTGACGG